CATGGCGGTGCATTGAAGTCAATGGCACCGCAGCCACGCCCGCAGTGCGATCGACTGCACCCGTAACGCAGGCAGATTAGTGCCTGCGTTCCGGTCCAGTGTGATCTGCAAAAATAGCGCTTGCAGTATTTTTGCAGATCGCACTAGACTAGAACGCTCTGGAATGCAGACTTTGTGGTGTGAACCGGCCCCAACAATGACTTGTAAATTCAATCAGGTGTAGCTAATCACCTTCTCAAATGGCACACAAAGCCATTTGACTTTCAACAGTTATCAGTTGTGGGAGTCATTTTAAATTGGCTCAGCATGAAAAAAGCTTTCCTGGAGCATTTCAGTCCCTCGTAGTGCAACTGAAGCAAACAATCAACTATGGATGGCAAGGCACTGTCAAAAGATCTCTGGGATAAAGTTGTGGACAGGCACAAGTCAGGAGATGGATACAAAAACATTTCAAAGCCTTTATCAATGCCCAGAATCACAGTGAAGTCTATTATTAAGAAGTGGAAGGTATTTGGTACAACACAGACTCTCCCTGGATCAGGACGTCGCTCCAAACTGGATGAAAGAGCCAGGAGGAAACTGGTCAGAGAGGCTACCAAGAGGCCTCCTGCAACTCTGAAGCAGTTACAGGAATTTATGACAGAGTGGTCATTGTGTGTATGTGACAACAATATCACAAAGTCTCCACAAATTTGGCTGGTATGGGAGGGTTGCAAGAAAAAAAAGTCACTCATCAAGAAAGGCCACATGCAGTCACGACTGAGCTTTGCCAAAACGCACCTTGAAGATTCTGAGGCCACATGGAAAAAAGGTGTTATGGTCAGATGAGACTAAAATTGAATTGTTTGGCCTCAACACCAAACGATATGACTGACGGAAATCCAATACAGATCACCATCCAAATAACACCATTCCTACAGTAAAGCATGTAGGTGGCATTATCCTGTTATGTGGGTGTTTCTCTGCAGCAGGGACTAGAGCACTTGTCAGGATAAAAGGAAAAATGGATGGGCCAAAATACCGTCAAATTCTTGAGGAAAATCTACTGCCCTCTGGCAGAAAGTTGTCAATGGGAAGAAGGTTTACCAATGACCCAAAAGCACACAGCAAGAATGACCACACAGTGGTTGAAGGAGAAAAAGGTGAATGCCCTTGCATGGCCTAGTCACAGCCCAGACTTAAACCCCATTGAAAATCTGTAGAATGACTGCAGTTCACAAACGGTCACCATCAAAATTAACTGAACTTGAGCAGTTCTGCAAAGAAGAGAGAGCAAATATTGCAAAGTCTAAATGTGCAAAGTTAGTAGAGACATATCCCAACAGACTAAAGGCTGTAATTAAAGCAAACGGCGGCTCAACAAAATACTGACACATGGGGGCGAGCCTTTTTCCAACTCAGTGATTCTGTTTTTGATTTATTTTTATTTTTTCTGACATGTTGGTGTTACCGTATTTTTCGCTCCATAAGACGCACTTTTTTCCCCCCAAAAGGAGGGGGAAAATGTGCCTGCGTCTTATGGAGCGAATCCCGACGCCCGAGACATGCAGTTTCGGGCGCCGGGCGAGTAGGAGGAGCCACTGCTCATTAAATACGAGTGATCTAATGAGATCACTCGTATTAAAACCGAGCGGTGGCGGCGGCGATCGAGATCAGTAGTAGGAGCCACTGCTCGTTTAATACGAGTGAGCGAATGAGATCACTCGTATTAAAACCGAGCAGCGGCGGCGGCGATCGAGATCACCATAGAGTAGACGAAGAACGGACGTTCTTCATCTGCTCTGTATGATCATTGAGACCGTGGCGCTGTAATTACAGCGCCACCTGTCTCAGAGGTCACTAACTGCAGCTTCTGTCACAGCTTCTATGACAGAAGATAATGTCTGTCGAGTGCTCCATAATGCGCACTGGACCTCCCTGCGTCCTATGGTCTTATGGACCGCAAAATACGGTATATCTTTCACTTGGATGTTATAAGTTGCACTGAGTAAATACAGCTGAATAAAACAAAAACTGTGTCTGTCTTCATTTTAGGCTGCAAAGCAAGAAAATGTGATTATTTTAAAGGAGGTGATTCTTTTCTATACCTACTGTGTATATATCCCACCCATTGCCCAGACTATCGATGCACTAGTCTCAAACACTGCACTTCTCCTTTCTCTAAATCAAAACCACACAACTGCAACCTGTAAATGATTGCCAAAGCTCAGAATGTGGTTCTGAAAGCAGCAAGAGACTCTTTTCCCAAAGTCCAGCAAGTAGAATAGCAATCACTATATGCCTTGATGACATGCCCACTGCCCCCACTATGCATGCACTAATCTTTTTACGCAATGCCCACATTATAGATGCACTGGACACAATGACCCAGACCCAGACAATGACCCAATGGCTCAGAATGTGGTGCTGGAAGCTGCCAGAGTCTCTTCTCTCGAAGCTCAGGACAGTAATATCTATATATCATTCCCACTGCCCACACTATGCATACACTAATCTTTCTATGCCATGCCTACACTATGCATGCACTGATCTTGTATGCCATAGCCATACTATGCATGCAGTGATCTTATATGCCATGCCCATTCTATTTATACTGATCTTTGTACGGCTTGCCCTTACTATGCATGCGCTAATCTTTGTATAGCATGCCCATACTATGCATGCATTAATCTTTGTTTGCCATACCACTACTACGCATGCATCAATCTTTGAATGCCATGTGCATACTATGCATGCATTAATCTTTGTATGAGATGCCCATACAATGCATGCACCAATCTTTGTATGCCATGCCCATACTATGCATGCACCAATCTTTGTATGCCATGCCCATACTATGCATGCACCAATCTTTGTATGCCATGCCCATGCATGCACCAATCTTTGTATGCCATACCCATACTATGCATGCACCAATCTTTGTATGCCATACCCATACTATGCATGCACCAATCTTTGTATGCCATACCCATACTATGCATGCACTTATCTCGGTGTGTCATGCCCATACTATGCATGCACTAATCTTTTTATACCATGCCCATAATATGTATTCACCTATTTAGGTGTGCCATGTCCACAATATGCATGCACTAATTATGTATGTTATATCCATATTATCTTCTGCCAACAATCTCAATGCCCAGGCTCAGAATGTGGTGCTCGGCGAAGCTACCGTGTCTGTTCTCAGTCCCCAGCACAGAAATCAGTCTTTTCCATACGCCATGCCCACCATGTACTTACCCGATCACTACCAGTTCAGGGACAGGGCTGAGATTATGGCGCTGTTGTTGCTGGCGAGCAGCGATCTTCAGTCTGCCGGAGGATGAGGAGTAGGCAGCAGCTTTTCGCATTGACACAGGCAGGTGACTGCTCGGGCACAGTGTGAATGATTGCTCATTCCCTTCCAGGGAACATAAACCTCGTCCAGCCGAGCGATCCAAGAGGGAGTGTGGTGACAGCCCCTGCAGGGGTTAATGGCGCCCCTCCTCCTGTATATATGGGCGGTGGTGGTCTAACACAGATGTGATTGTAGGAGGGAGGTGTCCCCAGGATCAGTACACTCCGATACCTGAGCTGTCATATCTTCCAATCCCCCACCACCAATGTCACTACTGATTTGTAGCAGACACAGAGCGATCATTGCAGATGATCCCACCCTCTGATGATGATGTCATAATGAATGGAGGAAATCCTGATCAGTATTTCTAAATAGTAATGTCTGCAGTACAAGTGTATCATCAAGTGCCAATCACATGGCATTGTGCAAAGTAATTCACAGCAGCTTGTAAAGGTGTACCTGTATGTTTGTAGATAGATAGATAGATAGATAGATAGATAGATAGATAGATAGATAGATAGATAGATAGATAGAATTCTTTTTATTTTTTACACACACAATGTTATCTTTATGATTATATTACTTTGTAATTGAAGATGTATTGTGCAGAGAGTTTCTAAGTCCCGTTCACATTAGCGTGATATGTCCTGCGTCTGGAATGGAAATCGCATTATTCTCTATGGTGCCCATTCACATCCCAGTAACTTGGTGCAAGGCAATTTTTAAAATGCTGGTGCTTCTTTTTGTGATTCTCAATGGGGGGAAATGTATCAATTTCAGCACCTTTTAAACTGTCACATTCCTGATTTCTAGTGCATTATAGCTACAGATTTATTATACTAGTTTATGTTTCATTTCTAAATGATTTCATAAGAGAATTGTCTCTAAATTGTAAAAAGGCTTGTGGAGAACCTCCTGGATGACAGCTTAGATCAGTGTTTTTCAACCTTTTTTTGTGCAAAGGCACACTTTTTTCATGAAAAAAATCACGAGGCACACCAACATTAGAAAATGTTAAAAAAATTTAATGACCTAAGGGCAGGGGCATCCCTATAATGAGGAAGCCTGAGGCAGTATTCCTCAGACAGCATCTCATTGGGGGGGGGGCAGCAGCACCGGACGACTGACAACACCACCCCCCAGCCCGGCTGACAGCTCGGCCCCCTTCTCCTGCCCGTCTCAGACGGCGAAAAAGGTAGGGACAGCCTTGCTTGAGGGTATAAAGCTGAGTTATCTTTGCAATACTTTAGGAAGTGCTCAGGAGAACTTCTAAAATGTGCGAGAATTTGGAGGGTTTTTAATGTCAGAAATGCGGGACGCAATAACTGATTCATTTGGAGGGCTTTTTGATTGCTTTAATCTCGTCTCACTATAACCTGCATTATCACCATATATTGATAATGCACATTTACTCTTATTTAGCCTAGCTTGGTTACATTGGTGTTCAGCCCCAATTTTTTGTTTATCCAGGTTCCGGGCATGTTTGAATAAGCTTTTTGAGTATTTACTTTATTTTTGATTACTATTTTTGCTGACTTCACCTTTTTCATCTATTTTTTACATTTAATTTTTTTATTCAGTAATTGTATTTCTATTCAAAACTGAAATCAAAAATATAACACTAAGAGAAAGAAATGATTAGCTTGCCACTTAAAAGTATTTGCTAAATTAGCTCCAGCAGCTGACACGAATCTGCTTTAGTTTGAGACATTTTTTTCGATCAAGTCCCTATCCTGTCCAAAAAATAACATAAATCTAAAGGTGGCCATACACTTTACAACCATCGCAAGACCTTAGTAAAAAAACGTACGATCTGCCCATCTTGGACAGGCAGATCGTACTTGCGATCATCGCAAGCCTGCCCTGCTGAGGGGCGGGCTTGCGATGACCGCAATGCTGAACGGGCAGTGTGCGCGTGTTCAGCATTTGTCTCCCGAGCATCATTCAAACCAGCCGAAAATCGTAAGATTTTCGGCTGGTTTTCTAGCATGCTCCTTAGACAAAAGACGTGCGACCGTACAGTAGAAACGGTCGCACGTCTTCATTCACACTGCACGATTCTCGTACGATTGCGGGATTTCCCGCGATTCTCGTACGAGAATCGTGTAGTGTATGTAATTCCAAAAGATGTCACCAGCAGCAAAAGTAGATTCAATATATTTTAATGACAACGGTCATTCAAAATCACAAGTACTTTCGGGGCCACGTTGGGTCCCCGTCATCAGGCTCAGAAAGTACTTGTGCAAAATTGTGTGTATCTTCCTGCACTCCTTACCGGATCTCCTAGGAGATGATGTCTGTAATAGGGTGCTTGTAGCGACCACGGAGGCACCATGTAAATCGTGTAGTGTATGGGCACCTTTATGCTGGGCACACACCTTACAAAAGTCTTGCGATGGTTGTAAAGTAATTAAAAAAACGTACGATCTGCCCATCTTGGACAGGCAGATCGTACTTGCGATCATCACAAGTCCGCCTCGCTGAGGGGCGGGATTCCGATGACTGCAATGCTGAAAGGGCAGTGTGCGCTTGCGCAACACCGGCCCGTGCGGCTTTTAGCTTACGAACATGCTACACACACGCCGACAATCGTACGATTCTCGGCGGGTTTTCGAACATGTTCCTAAGATAAAAGTTGTGCGACCTTACAGTAGCACAGGTGGCACGCCTTCCATACACCTTGCGATAATCGTACGATCGCGGGATTTCCTGCAATTATCGTACGATTATCGCAAGGTATGTGGGCAACTTTAGACTAAATCTAAAAAAAGTACATTGTCACACAGTATCACCTCTACCCTTAATATTTCATAAAATGTTTTAAATTATTATCATGTCAAGCAATGCGTAAATTGAGGGAACTATATAAATACCTGTGATAATAATAATATTCTTGATCTTGATACATCAGGAATGCAGATCAGCAGTATGTTACACTATAGGGCTGATTCGTTGTTCATAATAACAACGTTCACACCGCATTACTGCCACTAGATGGAGCCAAAGAGCAAAGCAAATTCTTATGCCCCTCACCTCCATCTAGTGCAAGTAATGCCCTGCAAATAACATTCATCCAGCTATATGATAGGCAGACACTTTCAAAATCAGCACCTTAAAGTTCAACTAAACCTCAAACATTTTATTTTTTTTACTTTACATACAAAGCCCAACTCCAGACAGTTTTCTTTTTTTCTAGAAGCCCCCAGGCAACGTCAAAAATAAAAGATCAGCATAAGTCACAGTATCCTCCTTTAAAGCTAAACTCCAGGCTGGAAAAAGTTACCCCTGCAGGGGGCTACCGCAGCACTTCAAGGGTTAAATTCTCATTTTGTGTAGGGGACAATGAATAAGGTGAAATACTTATTCCTCCCTCCCACAGGCCTCCTCTTTGTAAGACCGGTACCCGAAGGAGGTCCTCTCCATTGCCCGGCCGCTTACATCTATTCTTCATCATCATGTACAATGCAGGAGCAGCGGTTTTGCATTGTATGTGAAGATGCTGAGGGACCGTCCACATCTAGGGAATGTCGTAGAGCGCCAGCTGCCGGAGGAGCGAGGAATACAGTTAGCAATTCAACTTATTCATCACCCCAAGACAAAAAAAGCATTTCACAGATCCTGTAGTGCAGAAGGATAACTTTTTTTCCAGTCTGGAGTTCAGTTTTAATCCCCTGCATTACTTTTATTCTGCTACAGGATTTGTTTTTTTAGTTAAATGGGCCCGCAGGATGGGAAAAAATAAAAAAGCCGCTCAGGCTACAATATTCAGCTTTTATTCAGAGTTGTGCCTATATTACTTCTGTTCTACCACAAGATATCCTCAGTTTTCCAGGTTGAATGATGATGTCTAGTGACTGAGGACATATGATGGACGGGTGTCATGGTCCCACCCCCGAAGAGCGCATCACCATGGCACCCATCATTTATAGTGTATTAAAGCAAAGATCGGCGCTGGTGTCAGCACAAAAAAGCTGCTCTCTGCATCAACAGAGGGCTGACATAAACTCTCATAGGGGTTCTGGCTTAGTGGTTAGCATGTCTGTCTTGCATCAATGAGGGTCCCAGGTTTGATTCTTGGTCAGCACACTATCTGCATGGAGTTTGAATGTTTTCCCCGTGCTTGTGTGGGTTTCCTCCCACCCTCCAAAGAGGTGATGTATGTTGTGCAATAGGGACCCTAAATTGTAAGCTCCTTGAGGGCAGGGACTGATGTGACTATGCAGTAGTAAATTGATGACACTATATAAATACTGGTAATAAATACTTAAAAATAAACTCTGAAATGTACTTACAAAAATGTTTAGCACTGTTATAAGGCTTTCTAATGTTTTCCTAAAGGAAACCTGCGCTGGGGGGACCTGGAAGCTGCCATTGCTGCTCGAACCACTGGGAACATGATCATGAATCCATGTTTTATTTCCACCTGTAGCATCTGCCAGTGTGATTTGTGCTTCCCTTTTTTATTTATTAAGTGAAGATATCATAATGTGATCTAATCTTCATTGATGATCTATTTACATGTGGAGATTTTGCATCTTTCCTGAAATGCTAACTTTCAGTAACATAAGAGACAATAGACTAAGTGTCTGGGGACAAGGCACACAGGATGAATTAATTGGTGCCATAGTCTATAACATCCCCAAGAGAAACTGCACAGATGTTCACAAAACAAGCATAACACAGTAATAACAATAATAATAGTTTGATTTCTATCAGCCATACTCAACCAAGATATTTGACCTGCTCTTTCCTTATGTCAGGGGGGTACGGCTGGGCCGTGAGTGGAACCCCTTGGCAGGGGCGGCAAGCCAAAGTCCGAGGTCGTGGTACACAGGAAAAATCCAAGAAGAATAGTAAGGTCCAATCCGGGTCGAGGCAGGCAGCTAGTTTCAGTAACGGAAGGGTAAGCCAAAGGGTCGGTAATCAAGAGTCCAAGCAGAGGTTCAGGAATAAAGACAGGTTCAAGGCACAGGGAGCTGGGAGATCACACCATAGGGATAGAATAACTCAGCAATGAGCCAGGGCTCTGACTGGGCTTTTATACTCAGTGGAGGATT